GTGTTGCCATTCGTGAGGACTAATGTAGTGTTGTAAAGGCGTTAAGCAACGAAAAATTCATTTATAGTAAGGATTTCTTTATTTCAACTAAAATTGTCTTCTATATGTGTCAGTAACATTTATTATATAATACGTTTTATGCTTATTTAAGTAATATAAAGTGAAATGTAATGTGTGAATATAAACATTAACTGGTTCCAATAGTCGGTCACAGGTGGCATTGTTGGGGGTAAAACCTGCATAGTAGGTATAACTGGTTTTGTCTTCGTATTGTAACATAATATTGGCGACCTTCTTGGTTTATAGAGCAAGCCGCTGCCTTCTATTCTTAGGAATTATTTATTAACGTATTTTAATTGTAACATCGCGTGTACTTTGTTTAGAACAGGTTTCATTTAACTATCAGGAGATTTTGTACAAGTTTTCCATATGAGTAGCTGTGTTCCCAATTTTATTTTTGCTTAAAGCAACTGTGTTTATTGGTCATACAATTGTTTGGATGAGATATGGCAGTGATATTACTGAGTATTGAGGCATAATATCGGAGTGCTGAGGAATGGCAACAACTATGGTGGTTACTGTGTATTCAGTAATGCCCATAGTGCTGTACATGTTTATAGGCGATGGACCAGTCGATTGCGACTGGGGGGAAGGGATTGTTAGTAATGCGAATTATCAGTCCCATTGCTAACAATATACCCTAACGGGTCGACCTTCCCGTGGTCCCCCCTGGAAACCATCGTGCTGAATTCCAAGCGTATTCATTACGATGGCCTAACTGACCTGCCTTTTCATTCTCACCTATTATTCCTTACTGGTGCCCCGCGAGCGTATACCGTTTGCGCAGGCTCAGGCGCAAGATATTACCATTCCATTATCATTCATTAAAAACAAAGTCGATTGCGACTGGTCAATCGCAACTATTAGTCCAGTTGATCGTGGCAAAGCAAAAAATATAATATTTCAATAATCTAGCGCAAGATGTTCAGACGTAATGCTCATACCAATATAAATAAGTAGTTACTAAGAATAATTTTCACTTTTATGTTTTCACTTTTAATCAAATAAAAAATACTACCAATACTTTATAAATGTGTACTGAATTATGTTGCTATTTGGTAGATCGTACAGGGTTTTGTCAGTAAATAGATCTTGGGTCTAGTTAAGTTGACTACCCCTGTTATAGGCGATGGTTAACATGTTTCATTGGGCGCGCCGTCAAATTTTTTGCCAGTATAAGTTAATTAAAAAGAACGCGAGCACAATAAATCTTGGACAGGTCTCAGACATAGGTTTTTCTGGCTGAAAAAGCTCGTCTCTCAATAATCTTATATATAAAATTCTCGTGTCACGGTGTTTGTTACCAAACTCCTCCGAAACGGCTTTACCGTTTTTTATGAAATTTTGTGTGCATATTGGGTAGATCTGAGAATCGGCCAACATCTATTTTTCTTACCCGTCAATGATAAGGGTGACTCTCCCCAAAATTTTTTTTATTTTTTTGACAAATTTTTCCATTTTTATTTTATTATGATTTAGCATTGAAAAATACATACAACTTTAAATTTTCATCGTTTTACGATCAACCCCTGTATTTTAATTGCGATTTTTATATTTCGCAATAAGTGGTAAAACAACGTTTACGGGGTCAGCTAGTAATAATATATAATTAGAATAACTGAAGTTCTAAAAATTTTAAGATTTACATTTTTAATTGTGATTGTTTTGGGCGATATAGGGCAGTGGACATTGGATTATGTATCTATGGGTTGAGTCGAGACGATGACTAATCTGAACTTGAATAATAACCTGCGTGGTCCTCACAGACAGACCAATAAGAACGTCTGAATCGTATTTTTTATCATGTACATCTATTTTGGGTCCGCTTTTGTTATCTAGGTCTAGGTATTTTTTATGCTTATTTTTTACTTTAAGTAAGCAAAAAAATCTAGTAGTCGATTTAAGCTTCGATGATGTTTAATAGATTAACAAACATCGTACAATGGATTTTGTAATTGATGATTAACAGAAAGTTATATATGTAAGCATAGATAATAAATGTAGGGAGACTTTGTACAAAAGTCGATTGCTTGGGTACCTCTGTCCTATTCGTGTTTCTACCATGAAGCAGTTGTGTTTGCATGGCTGTGTTTCAGTTTGAATGGTGGGATATGGCGTGAATTTACAGGGTACAAAGGAATAACACCTGAGTCCTCAGGAATAGGAACGCTTGGGAGGTATCATGGGCAAAATAGTATACTCTGTTATGTCCATGGTACTGCTCATGTCTATAGGCGACGGTTACCACTTTCTATCAGGTAGGCCGTCAGTTTGTTTGCCATTCTAAGTTGTATAAAATAAAATAAATGTAGATCCTAACGATTCTGGAGATGGAATTATGTATTGGCTTGGTTCTGAATGTTCTAGATTATGTTCATAAGTATTTTAGTAATTTTATTATTGTAACATCAGTCATTAATTGTTTACTGTTGAACATAGATGATAGTAGTTGCCACGCTTGACAGGCAGGTTGGCAACCACAGTTAGGCTTTTGTGATTTGGTGAGATGTTGCTGAGGGTTGGACCCTCGACCATTTAATTACCTTAATCATCTCTTATGATACTTACGGGAAAGAAAGCGGTGGACCATTCTTTGCTAGGACCACACAGCGATTTCAGTAATATTTTATATAAATACATTATGTTTTTATTGGTAAATCATTCGGTGCCTCAGGAACTGGAGAATTCGTGGATAATATATTAGTTTAGTTGTACAACGAGTTATTTTCGTTAGCATCTTGATAACGTTACCACATGAACTTAATTTTCTACATTAATTTCAATTCCATTTAAGACATTTTGTAAATATTTATTTACTTATATATTGCAACAATGTCTTCGCAGATCTTGCCTAAACCAAATGCCGCAACTTTCAAATACTTTATAATTTTACATCGCGTTCGGATGATAATAATTTTAATAATAAATTTACTAAACTATTAGAATTAAATGTGACACAATAAAATTTATAGTATACATTATAATAATTACATCGTAGAAATAAATATCATCATATAAATAAATTCTTTCTTGACACTATCAAATATAAGTATTTAATGAATTTATCTCTTTTAATCATCGACATATTAAGGAGTGGTAGTGCTTATTAATAAATGCATTGATGAATTAAACATGACATAAAATGTCAATGATAGATGTCATAGACTATTGGCGATTGCAAGCATATTAAAATAATTATTACAAGCATCGACTTCTAAGATATTTAGTTTGTCTATGTCGGCAGATGTCTTTACATACTCCGTATCTTTAAACTTTATTACGTAGTCACGAACTTTAATATTCTCGTTGTAAATACTTTATTCCTCTTTAGATTTAATTGAGACCTTGGCATATTTGTGCTCCTTTCAAATATGTATTGGTCTAGTGTAAATATTTGCATTATTGTGACTTAGGTTTTGTATATTAGCATGACTTCATGTTGTCTTATGAGAAAATTACGGTTTTACCCATTTTAGAGTATTACATTTACATTCGGGTATTTTTAATATTAACAATGTGCATTATTTAGAACAATTTTGTCGTCTACTCGTAGGTTTAAAAAAAATTATGGCAGTTGGAAAAAAAGATGGGAAAAACCTTTATTTGTCCAGTAGAAATTTTTTATTTTGGCAACTCAATATAATCCAAAATTAAGAGTAGCTTCTACGTCTATTTTATATGTATCTATAACATCTAAAATATCTGCTTTTTCTCTTTCTTCATCATCTTTGTTCCTTATTCTTCCTGTTTATGTTGTGTGTTTGTTAATTACATTCATAATATCACAATGAAACTCTATTAATCAAAGATGTTGCTTATCATTTTAAACAACAAATCTTAATGTTTCAGAATTCTGGTCAATACATCAACATATTACTTTATTTACTTTGAGGGTGAGCTTTGATAAATATTTAATTGGATGTGGGTCGATAAAAGACCTTATTTCATGCTTAGGTAACATTTGGAAGTTTACGCTTCATAATAACTATTGCTTTTGTGGCTAGACTTATGTAAACGGTTACGAATCTCCACTTGACCGTATACGACATCCTAACTGCAAGTCATTTCTCATTAGTCACTTTGTTAAGCTTTCCATCCTTTGCATAAACAGATGATATGTTGATCTCTAGTGAGTGAATATTAAGACCTATATTCGAATACCGTCCTATCGTATGTCCAGTTACATTGACATTTGTAATTTAACCGTTGCAGTTATCGTAGGTTTTATTGCAAGGTCGTAAAGTTTCGATTCCCGCGATTTACGCAACCGGATGAAGGATCGCACATGCGCCGGATGCAGCACAATCGCAGAGATTGCTTTCCTGTATATGTTCGTTTGATGTGACCGAGTTCGTTGTTTTTTGCTTATATATGGATATTTTATCCTCTTGATACACTTCGAGTGAGGACTTCCTAGATTATAGTCATATGGTTTCGTTTTAGTGTAGTCATACACTTCGTGTTAAAATGTTAAGAACTTTAGAATGAACTAGTTACTTTTTAATTCTTAAGGGCTTCTACCTTCTTCAGCTATATCAGCCCTATGGTCCCAGAACTGATATTATAATAGTTAAAAACTTCAAATATAGATCAGTCTTATGTATACATTTGTACATTTTTATTTATCCCTGTATTTTGACCATACCATTTTTTTTAAATTATATATATTTATTTTATTTTGTACAACTTGGACTGACAAATAAGCTGACAGTTAACTTAAAAGTGCCGATATCACATAATAGGTTATATCTCAGGCGTTGCTATTCCAGAGGACTAAACTGTAAAGAGAAATAAAGTACAGAAGTATACACTTGCACAATCATAGAGACGCTTAAATAGAACATACTCATATAATTATATATAACTCGAACCTATTATGAATATATAGATAAGGACATAGATATAATAAAAATGTTATAATGTTTTTCTTTTTGTTACAGACGCACAAAATGGAGTGCGGAACGAGTGAACTCAGCAGGAAACTGCGTGTTGATCAGGTATTTATTTTTATGTCTAATTTTCTTTTTAAGTAAAGGAATGTAGATAAAAAAATGCAAAATATTTTAAACCGTGGGTATCGTAAGAGACCATTAAAGCAAAACTTTATGATCGAGGGCCTATCCCAGCAGCGTTCTTCTTAAAACATCGCCAAGGCCTAACTGCGGTTGCCAACCAGTCTATATCCAACAGTAGTTTGTGGTATAGCATATCAGCTTAGCATGTTCAGCTTTCAAGTTAATATGGGAAACTATACATTGTTTTGTTTTTATTTTCTTTATAAAAAATGTTTCTTTCTCTAATTTTGATATCAGCTGGTGTATGATGTACTTAGTTGACTGTAGGTAAGGTATCAATGTCATTTGAAGAATTTACTTACTGCAATCAGCATTACTTTAAACTTAACAGCTTGCTATCAATCACTGTCATTAATCCTAAGCAATTTTAGATAGCAGTTTGACAGCGCCACAATGCCAAGTCAAGTGAGCCCTTTGATTGATAGATTTGAATTTGGAATGACCATTTTAAATCGGTTGCTAAATTAGGTATATGTAAATTTACATAAGCGAAAGGTAATTAAAGTTTATATGATTGATATATTGTAATTGAAATAATAATAAAAATATATTAACGACTATAATCTCCAATGGGTAGTCAGAAGCGTTTATTGAGTGAGTCATTGCAGTGGATGTAACATTTAACATGTCCACATTGCCAAACTATTAAAATTCAACGTGGCAAGTGACGAGCCTACTGTCCGATTTGTTTGTTATCGGCGTTTTCTATTATCAAAATGTGATTAATTGTGTTTAGAAGTAAAAAAAACTCAGCCCTCCAAAATGTCTATGTTATTAAAATAATAATTTATAGATTGTAATGCAGTAAAACTACATGCATCACCGTGTATTCTATGATGGAATGGCACTTGTTTATTTACGACGGCTACCACTGGTTACCACTTTTATCAAGTGATCTGTCAACTTGTTTGCCATTCAAAATTGAATAAAAAATATTCGCAGACAACCGGTTTACTATAAAAATATCATACAATTAGAACAATTAAGACGTACTGTAGAAAGAGAATGCCACTGTAATTACTATGGTGCTATTCTTAATCTAAGCAACACACATTTCGTGCCAATATTTGACAGCTGTCAAATTAAGAGGTTAATAATGTTGGCCAACCTGTTTGGCGCACCTGTAGCACCTATGATCTCCATAAAACAACGTTCCGATCAGCTGTTACAATTTTTTCTTTTGTAATTTCTGTTAGCTGCAACTCGTCATTTTAAATGGCATCTTGTTATGTTCTGTTACACCGTAATTTACGGCGATTAGTGCAGTTATTATGGCCTTTTGCACCGTTATATGATCTTTATTGAAATTATTAGCACGTGCCGTTTTAGGTACGCGTGTGTAATTTGAAATTTAAAAGAAACAGCTGTTTTAACGGAACATGTACTAATTTTAAGTAATATTTTTTGTTGCACTTGTAAATTACATAGACAAGACAGTTATAAGTATTGTGAGCACGGGTGGACTTATCTTTGTAAGAAATCTCTTCCAACCAACCAAATACAGTGGAAAAGAAGTACTTTAATTTTATAAATATGTTTGTTATTCAATAACGTTTAAACGGTTTAACAGATTAAAATTTTTGGTACATAGATGGACCAAATATTGGATTAGTAAAATTAGGATTTTAGTCTATACGAATAAAGTTGTAAAATACAGCTAATACCGATAAAAATCTAATACAATTCTTTCATTGAATAATCTCGAAATCAACTTTTTGTCAATATCTACATATATCTTGAATATAAAAAATCGATCTGATTTTACTAAATTAGTCGATTACACGAAAGATATTTTATTATTAGTCGAAATTATTATAAAAAACACAAGTTCGGCTATTTTATTTATATATATAAAACAATCTAAATTCAAAATCCAATCAAACGGCCAATAATAAACACCATTAATTCAATATATTATTACTGTTACTAATTGATAATAGTGTTATAATTCCATAAGACACGCGTACCTTTCAATATTTTTTCCCGTAGTACTTTTACGCACTTATTGTGCAGCTTTTAATTAAAATGACTGTACATCGAATATAATCACCGTGCACCACTAGTAGAACAAATCGAGTGGCCGAATCGATTTAATTCAATATCGATAGTTGTGAGCGGTTTATGTAACGGTTCCACTCTACGTGTGAGATGTTCGATACATCTACTATATTTATTGAATATTGAGGCGTCTATTACGAAATACTGTTACTCGATGAGTGAATTTTGTTTGATCGATTCTAAAGTAATCGGATTTTTATCGATTTTTGTTTCCTATATGGCAGAAGAGATTAAATAGAGTAGCGGTAATTTAGTAATATTTTTTAATTTATAGTTGTAAAAAACTAAAAATTGCTGCTATGGAGTTTTTTGAATAAAATAGAAGAGATTTCTTGTCGCGTAATTGGAATGAGAAGTCCTCTTTATGTCAAATTTCATAATAATAGGGAGAGACCTTAGATTGAGACGTTATGATGTCAAAAAGTAATAAACACAAATACACTCACTGTATACTGACTGGGGGGAAAGGGATTGTTAGTAATGGAGAGGGATTGTTAATATACCCTATCAGGTCGACCTCCTCGCGGTTCTCCCTGGAAACTATCATGGTTAATTCCTGATGAATTCATCATGATGAGCTAACTGGCCTGTTTTCATTCTCATCTATCACCCTTCACTGGTGCTCCGCCAGCGTATCCCGTTAGCGCAGGCGGGGTTACCATACCATCTTCACCCATAAAAAAATACACTTATCTTTATATTTATAATATTAGTGAAAATATATTAACATTCACCTCTTACATACCGGCCGTGTGGTCCCGGCATAGAATAGACCGGTCCTTCCTTTCCCGTGGGTGTCGTAAAAGACGACTGAGGGACGGCGAGGGATGGGCAGTAGCGTCTCTCTTAAACATCTCTAAAGTCTGACTGCGGTTGCCAATCCGTCTGCCAAGCGTGACAACTACTGGCAAAACCTCCCAAGGGTGAGACTTATGTTCAGCAGTGGACGGTGGAGGGCTGATATGATGATGATAACTCTATATTTAATCTTCTTTGGGATAGAACTTCCATCATTTATAAAGCATTTAATTTCCGTGCAAAATTTTAATAAATTCTTGCGGTTTAACCTACCAGTTCAAAGTGTGGTATTAAAATATATTTTATTAAAATGTATCGATCTATTCTTGAACTAAAGTTATTTTAATAAATATTACGTAAGTAATATGTTACTATTATCTAATATAAACGTATGAATATTGAACAAAGATATTTTTAGAATAGAAATGTTTTGTCACCTAAACATAACAGATACGACCATTCGAGATTTTTAACGTAACGTAAATTTCGCTTAAATATTTAATTATAAATTCTAAAATTTAGGCCAAATAATAAATGTAAAAACATTTTATATGATGTTTGATATTTATAATTTAGACTACGAAATAATAGGTTATTATAGTAAGTTAATAAGATAATAGGGTGGAAAGGAATTGTTAATAATAGGTAAATAGTAACTAACTGACCCACTGCTAGCAATACAATCAGGTCGACCTCCACGCAGTTTCCTTTGGAAACCATGGTGGTTAAACCTAGTGCTATTCGATACGATGGGCCAACTGACCTGCTTGCATCGTCACCTATTATCCCCACTTGTACTCTTTCGACGTATACCGATAGCGCAAGAGGGGTTACCATTTCATTTTTTTTTTTTCATTTAAGAGTTTCCTCTTGTCGGTGCAACTAATTCATGCATCTTCCTCCAGCCAGCTCTATCCCAGGCCATATCCTTTATCTCCCTATACGACATATATACCATTTCATTATCACCCATTAAAAGACTATATGATAATAAAGCTATCTGATGGTAATCGGATACGATTTGAACGTTTTTAATATTTTTTTTTATACAACTTAGAATAGCAAAAAAGCTGACGGCCCACCTGATGGAAAGTGGTAACCGTCACCTATAGACATGAGCAGTACCATGGACATAACAGAGTATACTGTTTCGCCCATGATACCCCCCATACGTTGCTATTCCTGAGGACTCTGGTATTATTCCTCTGTACCCTGTAAATTCACACCATATCCCATACTTCAAACCGAAACACAGCCATGTAAACACAACTGTTTCACGGTAGAAACACGAATGGGACAAAGATAACCAAGCAAACGACTTTTGTACAAAGTCTCCCTGTAGGTAAAATCTGTAATATATTAATTGTATTAATATTGATTGAAAAAAATAAAATAACGATTGCGACTTAGAAAGCAGCCACAATATATGTAGATTAACTAGATAATATCCGTTTAAAACGATTTGCAGTTAATTTAACTATTGTTTAATCGCCTAGTTACGCACTCTTTATTGACAGCCTTCTACATATATATCGATTGAATTGGTTAATCGATTACTACTTTGAGTCGAGTTAAGGTGTGACCTCCTTTCGGTCTATATAGTTATATAGTAATGTCAAATAATCGATTCTCGAGTTATGGTTTCTTTACTAATAATCGCTTCTTATGTAATCTTTATTAACAAGGTATATATATCTAATATATAAAATTCTTGTGTCGCGGTGTTTGTTACCAAACTTTTTCGAAACGGCTTTATCGATTTTTATGAAATTTTATGCATATATTGGGACTCAGGTGTTATTCCTCTGTACTTAATAAATTTACGCCATATCCCACCCTTCAAACTGAAACACAGCCATGCAAACACAACTGCTTCACGGTAGAAACACGAATGGGACAGAGGTATCCAAGCAATCGACTTTTTCAAAGTCTCCCTCTGGAATGTTAACGGCTGATATCATCAACATCATCACATGATCTCTGGTCAACAAACTTAAACAATAAAATATAATCGTTATGGAAATTATATGCTGTTATATTACTTAAAATCTCATTAGAATCAATGT